GTTTCTCTGCATTAAGGGCAACAAATGCTAGCTAGTTTTTTAGGTGTCTTACCTATCCTCACCCCTCCCTTGTGTGCTCTCGCTTTTATCATGTGAAGAGGCTGACTTTAAACACCATGTGTGACTGGGAGTTTCAGTGGTAGGGGGGAATCCCGAAATCTTTAGACAAGCTCGAAGTGCAACAAGCATTAACTCACGAGTCCCAGAAACAACTGACACAGGATTCTCAATAAGGTCTTGAGCTTCAGGGACCAAGCAGACCTCAGCTAAAGTCCCAGCTAGGTCATTTCCCTGGGGTGTTGCCCTGGGCTCTAACTTCTCTGAGAGCCTCAGTTATCACATGTGTAATATTTAATTTCAACTCACTTGCATAAATACTATGTGAAAATTGCCTAGCACATTACTTGTCGTTGTAATAGGCATTGAGCAAATGGTAGGCATCATTTGGAATATAAGTTGTACAAATGAGAACTTCAGACCAAATTGGAGAGAATTTTTCATATGTGGAAATGCCAGTTTGGTGCAGGTTGCTAATTGGCATTAGTGTGAAAACATGTGAGGGCTGGGTATGGTGGTAATACCTCTAATCTTAGCTAGGCACAAAGTTAGTGAGACCCCATCTCAACAAACAAGCCAGGAGTGGTGCTGTGCATCTGTGGTCCTAGCTATATAGGAGGCATAGTTAGAAGGATCATAGGCTGAGGCCAGTTCCAAGCAAAAACATGAGACCCCGTCCAAAAAGTAACTACAGCAAAAAGGGCTCAAGTGGTAGAGCACCTGCCTAGCAAGCACAAGGCCCTGAAGTTTATACCCTAGTATCCCCCTGCTCCCAACACGAATTCCACCAATAGCATTGTGTTTAAATTGCACAGGGCAAAATGGTGGTGGGTCATGTTTTTAGTCCATAAATAAAGAGGTACCAGGGCAGTGAAGACAGAGCCTCAGAAACCAATGCGTTACACTTCTATTTAACTTTCAGTTTTCAAAACTGAGCTTACAGTTTACATAAAGGCTCAGTTTTGACTATATTACCAATTTCAGTGCAAAGCATCACCTGGAGTTTATTAAAAACATATTCTGAGACTCCACTACAGAGATTCTAACTCAGGAGGCTTGGGGTGAGGAAAGAGAAGCTATACTTTTAATAGGTCTTCCAGGTGCTGGCACAGATCTGGAAACCACTGCAACTAAAAAATACATCTGAAATTCCTAAGTCTTCACTTACCATAGTTGGGAACAAATTAACTGGTTAAAGCTCAAGAGTCCTGGAGCAAAGCTGTTCAAACTCATGGAGAGTGGGTGGGGTTAGAGGGCCTCATGCAGGTCCCTAGTTATGGGTCCTCTGTCCCTGTCCAGTCCTTTCCTTCAAGTAGGCTTTATCACCATTAATCTGCCCTGTGATGTCAGTGAACAGTTTGGTTTTAGTTATAATTAAATTATTCTACAAAGAGCTCTGATTAAAGCAAATTTACATAAACTGAACTAACTCCATTTATGCTTATGATTATAAACACTTTGACATAGGACATAGGACATAGTAAAATGAGTTGTTAAAGATGAAAAGCTGTTGGCATGCAGTTTGTATGCTTTTCAGAATGAGTTATCATGCTTTTCACCTTTGAGTTAAAAATTATTTTCTTCCCATGAAAATGATAAAAATTTCACATATGCCTATGTTTGCTATCAAAAGAAAGAATAAAAGCATTTCATGTAAAAACCTAAGCAGTTAGATTTTTTTTTGAAAGTACCAGGGTTTGAACTCAGGACTTTGTGCTTGCTAGACAGGTGTGCTACAGCTTGAGTCACACCTCCAGCCCTTTGTATTCTGGTTACTTGGGAGACAGGGTCTTGCTTTTTGCCCAGGCTGGCCTAGACCTCAATCCTCCTATTTTACACTTCTTACTCTAGAGCACACCACCACAATCAGCTTTTTTTCCTTTGAGATGGGAGTCCCATGAACTATTTTTGCCCAGGCTGGCCTGGAATTGTGATCCTCTTGATCTCAGTTTCCCTCATAGCTTGAAATGACAGGCATATGTCACCACTCCCAGCTATTGTTTGAGATGTGGTCCCACAAAACTATTTCCCAGGCTGGCCTGGAATTGTGATCCTATCTCAGTCTCCCAAGTAAGTAGGATTACAGGCATAAGCCAACAGGTACCTGGCTAGCAGTATGACTTTTTAAACTGAGTTTTGGGGTCTGTATATGTGTTAAGTTTCTGTGTATGTGTTGAGGAGGGAACACAGATCTTTGTGTTCAGCATTAACAAACAAGCTCATTTGTCTCCCCTAAGAAGGCTGGCATGGCCACAGGATAGGTGTGGCTGTGTCCTTTCTCAGGCCTCCATGGCATAAATGGAGATCAGAGAGGGGGAAGCTGGACTCCATGGGAGGGAACCAGCACATCCCAAGGTACTTTGGGAGGACGGTGTGGATCCAAATGTGATAACATGAGAAAACAGATGTAAATGTTAAACAAACATAAGAAGTGCGGTTCTCACAGTCCAGTCCCAAGGCCAAAGAACAGTGAAATAACACACAGTTGCTCCTTAAAACTGCTAGGAAGCAACTGACAGCACCTGCCAGGAATCTTGTCATCTTTCAACAAGTGATTTCTATCCTAGGAATGTAGCCCATCAGTACATAATTAGAGATGTGAACAAAGACTTATAATAATAATCTATTATCATTTATAATAGGGAAAGATCTGGGAGAAAAAAATCCTGTACAACAAAAGAGGAAAACTATGATTTCTCCATAGGACAGATGATCATTCAGCTATTAAAAATGTTTCTGGAGAAATTTCATCACATGGAAAAATGTTCACAGAACAATGTTAGGGAGAAAAGTAAAATTTTGTGTAGTAATAATAATAATAATAATAAAACTATATAAATATACATTGAAAAGACTAGAAAAAATACTTAAGTAGTTAAAGAAGTGCTATGTTTGGGAAGTTGATTTTAGTTTTTTGTTCTTTCTTGTGTTTTCTAAATTTTCCACAATAAACATTGTTAAAGTCATTTAATAAAAAACTGATTGTTTTCTGAATAAAAATATTTTTCTAATAGAAAAATGGGAAAACATTTAAACCTTCGCTTTAAGTATATAGTTAGGTTTTAACAAGAATATGGTTACTGGATTTTTAGGTAAGTGACATAATTTTAAATATTAAAAAAATTGTACAATTTACTGGATCCAATTCACATTCAAAATTCTCATCCCTGCGGTTCAATGGTCCCTGCCAAGATTAAGGACCCGTGGTATCTTTCTACACATTTTTCTTAGGAGTAAAATAACAGGGCTCTGTGCAAGGACCTACTTATTTTCCACTTTCGCAGCATATACTTGGTCTTTCTCCACCGCTATGTGGCGCTCTTCAGACACGCTGTAGTACAGAATCATCTCTTCCATCAGAACTTCCAGCTTATGTATCTCTTGCCAAGGCTGGATGACAAAGTGGCCTGGGTGACAGGCCACAGGCACATACACATCCATGTGTTCCCCAGGCTTTGACAAATGGACAGGAGGTGGCAGTTCCTCCAGGGAGAAAGAGCTGGTGTGTTCCACCATGGACTTTTTGATGATTTCTGGGAGGCTCTTTCTGAAATTCTCTCCAATGTTGCCTGACATGGGTGTGCCACCCAACATGGGTGTGCCACCTGACATGGGTGTGCCACCAGACAATGGCATGCTGGCCAGCACGCGTTTGCTGCCCAACATGGGTGCACTGCCATTTCTGCTGCTGGGAGAGCTAACTGCACTGGATACAGCACTCAAAAACACATCCTTCTGGTGCTTCCACAGGTCTGCATTTGTAATCTGGCGATTAATACTGCGATGAGGGTCGGGGAAGTTCTTAGGAGTAAATAAATACACATATGCAATCCCCCTGGTTTCATCCACTTTTGTAACCTTTGGAAAACAAAGAAAAATAACTTAAGAAATCCAAATTTACACTGAATTCTAAGAGGAAGTTAAAAGTATTAATCCTCAATATTAACATATTTTGCAAAAAAAACTGGCTGAAATTAATTTTATTTTAAAAAAGATGAATTATTTATCACAGTCCAGCAATAAATAGTCTTAAGTCAATACAGTCTAAAGAGGAGCAGCAATCTTTGGAAATGAAAACTCTGAGGAAATAGTTCTACATATCATGATTACAGTTTTTAAATTAATGACATTCCAAAACACTCAAAGTAAAAGGATAGTATGATGAGCCCCCACGTGCTCACCTCCCAGCTTCAAAACTAAAAATAAACACAAGGATAGCAAAACGTTGCTCAGAAAGCATCCTGCTTCAGGCTGGCGCACCCTCAGACTGGGACAAGAAAGTGAAAGCTTTGGCATTTACCATCTGGGGACTTCTGTCCAAATTCCTTAGTTGGTCCTAGTATTTGCCCTCACTTCTCACCTTCTCCCCAATTACATGGAGGGAGAAAAAGAGGACAAGAGCTCTCTTTTCACCTGGGAGACACCCACCTCTTTCTTTCTCTGTACGGGAACACATGCATCTGATCTTCAGGATCATACTGCCATGTGTCCCAATGGCTAGGTGACTGCTAATGGTTCTCATCAGCTCCTCTGGCTTGTCTTAGGAAGGACAAAACTGACATACCTCTGGCCACATCTATCTTATATCAAAAAGGGCCAGAAATCAAAGGCTGGGACACCAGCCTTTCTTCTTAGAGAGGTAATCTATCTACAGCAAATTTACTTAAAAAGTATTTTCCCAGAGAGATGAATGTATTTAAATTCATCCTTTGAAGTACTGAGATACTGATTGCTAATTCATTTTGATATTTGTGATAAAGAAGTGCCATTTTTAAAGTATTTTTATTGAGTATCCAGTACCCTGGCTTTAAGGAGCTTAATGAGTGGCCTAGGAAAAAAAGGCATGCACCATGTGTAGTATACAGCAAGCACTGTACACCCTAGAGGAATACAAAGATAGAAAAACCCATGCTAGCTGGAATGATTGACAGATTTTCAGAAAGATATTGCTCAAGGATATTTCATGGTTGCATGTTTATGTAAAATAATACTATTTGCATCAGCTCATAGGAAAGAAAAGTCATCTTACATTTCTAGTCTGGGAAATATGAGCAAGGTTTTAAAGATGAGTGCAAAAGTGCAGAAAAAGAAACAAGAGCTAGTGAAATAAAGTAAGAGAAGCAGTTTAAACAAACTTCAGGAAAAAGAGGAAAACAGAAGATTATGAACAAATTGTTTATAATCCATTATACTTTAGGAAAAATAGTGAACTTATTAATTTAATTGATCTTTAGAAATATCTATCAAGAGATATGTGATCTCTCTGTTGAAGATGACTTAATTCCTTATCACAAAGCAAAACTGAGCAGAGAACCATCTCTGCTACCTTATTAACAGTAGAAAAATTAAAGGGTTTAAAAGTACTTTAGGAGTTATAGGAGAACTACTTACATAAGAAACCAACATGAAATACTTTATGGAACCAACCTCTTGAATATGAAAATATGTCCAATGTGAAAACATCCACTTATTACAGTAAAATTATTTCACACAAACCCATGAGCCCCTATCACCAACTCCAGCTCCCTTTCAAGATGTAGCAGGACCAGTAAGATAACTAACCTTAATGCTACAGTCCGAGCAATTCAAAACAGAGTCTCTTAACCAAAGCACAGCATCTGGGGTCCACATGCCAACAGACTTTGGAAGATCAGCTAAACAGCACTTTATAGCCTGAAAAGAAAACATAGTGGGAAAGCAAATGCAGCTTAAAATAGCTACTTACGAGTATTGTCTATTTTCCGACAAGTCAGATGTTGCCAAAATAAAGAGCAAGCTGAAAATGACAATGACAGCTCTTAGGGTCTGCCGTGTTCCTGTGTCTATTTATGTCACTGTTGTGACCCCACAATACTTCTTTATGACAGGCACTGTGACACCACCATTTTACAGAGAGGCTAGTCTGTGAAAAACTCCAGCGCTGAGAAGACAGGGTGGGGGTGTATTCTATTTTCCTACTTAGTCCAGTTAAAAATGAATCATCACTCCGAGCAAATGTGACTCCTTTGCAAGAACCTCTCAGCAGGCTCATGTGCTGTACTCCACATCTCGAGTGCCTTGTGGGTGCTGGGCGTTTGTGCTCATCTCTTGAAAAAGGTGTGAAGACAATTAGAGAGAGTAGGAAAAACTGAACTCCACAGGTCCCTAAACATCTCATTTTCCCCAATATTCTCTACTTCCCTCCATCACTTTCCAAGCTTCTGTAGAACTGTTAGATAAAGAATAAAGCGTGACCCAGGTATCCCTTGAGCCTCAGCTGGAGCCACTCAGCACTCTAGTATCTGCAGCATCCTCGCCCCATGGCGGAAGGGAGGCGGTCCTATATAGAAAAGCTCAGGGTGTGCCTGCAGAGAAGGCCAAAGCACCCAGCAGTCCCACCCTACAAAGGAGAATGCTTAGATTTTCTGATTTACCAAAAAGAAAAGCTACAAATAGGCTTTTTTTTCCCCCTTCAGTACTGGGATTTGAACTCAAGGTTTTGTGCTTGCAAGGCAGGCACTGTACTGCTTGAGCCATACTTTCAGCCCTTTTTGCTCTGGTGTGGGGATAGGGTCACACTTTTTGCCTGTGCTGGCATCCCCCAAGTGCTGGGATGATAGGTGCCTGCCACCATACCTAGATTTTTTTCCATTGAGATGGGATCTTGAAAAGTTTACTTAAGCTGGCCTGGAACCATGATCCTCCCAATGTCTACCTCCAAGTAGCTAGGATTACAGGCATGAGCTACCAGTGCCTGGAAAGTAGGCAATTTTGTGTAAGGGGAAAAAAAAAAACCCCAATTAAAAAACCCTGGCAATCTAATCTAGTCACATGTTTAAAATACAGCAAGAGCCAAAAGCCCAAACACAATGTTGATGGGTCAATTTGTCTGATAGACCATTGTTTTACTTCTGTGACAGCCCCTTGGGGAGATGTTGTTAGCCAGAGTCTTGGGCAAAATGGCCTTTACATTTACATAAGGAGTCCAGATAAGAACAGCAGAAAAACTGTTTAGTGTCCATTAAATGCATAAGGAAGGTACTACTGTGTGACTCTCAGACAGACAGCAGTGGGTCTGATCCTGTCCCTTCAGCCAGGGAGACTTGTTGAGGTTAGCCTGGCCCTAGATGGGTGTTTCCACAAGTAGATGCAGAGACCAGAGCTGTGTGAGAAAGTGACAGTGGCACTGTGAGGTCTGTCAATTTCAATATTATGGCTGAGCAACACAGTAAAAATTATTCTGAAGAGGACACTAGGGGTGAAGAGGATAGAAGTAACATATATATATATAAAGATAGTATAATGAAAGCCAACAAATACTCTTTGAAGAGGGGAAGAGGGGGACTAAGGAAATATAATAGATGAAGTGAACTTGTTCAAAGTACACTGTACACATATACAGAATTATCACAATGAAACCCCCTTGTACTATTATTTATGTATGCTAATAAAAAATGAAAAATAGTTGAAAACAGACTTGGCCAAAATTTAACAACTTCACTGAAAGAGTCATATTAGAAAAGGCAATGGAAACTGAGTGAGAGAAAGGCTAAAAACCATGGTAGTCAGGGACAAGTATGTTTTATACCATACTGACAGCAAGAGATGTCTTCTGGAAAATATTAGTCAAGGGGCATTTTGCAATTACCGATATTGAATACTGAATAGTTTTATTTTTAAAAAAAGTATTTTTTTTTTTGTGGTACTGGAGATAGACCTCAGCGCCCCTTGCCTGCTAGGTAAGCACTCTATCACTTGAGCCTTTTGCTTTTGTTTGTTTTTCATGCAGGGTCTTTTCACTAATTTTGCCCAGGTGAGATCTTCCTGTCTTCACTTACTGAGTATCTGGGATTACAGAGGTACACTACTACGTGTGACCCCAAAAGATACTAATTTCTTTTCAAAGCCCTCTATGTCTCCTAAAGACAGTAAACAGTTCTTAACAATGTTAATAGATTTGAAGTAATTAAAAATTCTTATCGTCTAAATGTTCACTACCAGAGGAAGGATAGGCTGAGGTTAATTTTTTACTAAAATGTATGGTGAAAACAATTAAGTATGAACAGATTTCCAAAGAGAATGGTGAACTAATTAAAGTATGAACTATGGAAGTAAACGTTTACATGGAGCTATGTAGCATTCTTGGCATTCGATTATGAAAGTGAAATCCTTTGTGCTAGGAGGATGAGGCAGGAGGATTAGGAGGCAGTCTAGGCTACTAATGGCTTAGGTGTATCTGAAAACAAATGTTTACCCGACAACTCTCTATAGGCATGGCTGGGTTTCTTGGGTAAGCCATCCCAGTTTGACTTCTGAAGACCAGTAACAACCTTACTTGGACAACTTCCAGTTTTCTCACAAACTAGGACTTGGACCATTAGCAACATGGAAACCAGGAGAGAACATCTCACGACAAACACATCCAGACCTTTTCAGGCAAATCTCCGACTTGTGACATGCAGTACCTGAGGTGGGATCGCAATCATCTCCTGAAGAAACCGAGGTGGAATTTCTCTGAGCTCAGACACTTTCACCGATGTCGCATTGCCAGAGTCCAGGAACTGAACATCAAGAGCCCGGCTGCTGTGAACGTTCGTGATCTGAAACCAATTTATTAGCATATCTGAAGACTAAAACACTTCCACGCAACTACATCTCACACAATTCCAAAGTACATATTGAAAGCAACAAAGACTATCAGTGTTAGTAAATAACATTTTTCTCTTAATTTAAAATGTACTTATTTATTAAATATTTGTATAGTACAATTCATTTCAACATCAAGTTTCTCATTCACTTTATCAGTAAAAATCAGTAAACTAGGTGGGGGGAGAGGGAGGGGGAGGAGTGGGTGGTAAGGGAGGGGGTGGGGGCAGGGGGGAGAGATGACCCAAGCATTGTATGCACATATGAATAAAACAATAAAAATTAAAAAAAAAATTAAAAAAAAGTAAACTAATAATCAGTAAAGTTCATAAGGACAGCGATATTTACCATTTCTTTAATCTTAGGACATGATTTATTGTAAAATGATTTGATATATTATTAAATATTGCTGATTGTAAGATGCAATCTGTATTCTAAAAAAATCAAAATGTGAGGGAAAAACTACTATATCTTAGTAATAAGAAAATAAACAGGACTGGAGGTGGAGTGACTCAAGAAGAATGCCTGCCTAGCAAGTGTGAAGTTCTGAGTTCAAACTCTAGATCCAAAAAAAAAAAGAAAAAGAAAATAAACAAATAATTCAGTGACAGATTTTTACTTGTAGTGGGTAAATGCTCCATATTTTGAAGTCATAACATTTCATACCTTCATCATACTTTTTCTTCTTTTGGTGGTACTAGGGTTTCAACTCAGGAAGGGCCTCATGCTTGCTAGGCAAGTGCCCTACCACTTGAGTCACTCCTAGCTTCATTATAAAACCTAGTAATTTTTATCATTTGTGGTGACGGAAAAAAAAGCAACACTCAGAAAGTAATAGAGAAGTAAACTAAAATCAAAATTTATAGGTCAAAATGGGGAAATCACACAGAGACAAGCAACTACTTTGCAATTATTTGCATAACTGTGAAGAACAAATAAATCAGAGTCTGGGCATAGAGGTTCACCTGTAGTCCCAGCTACTCAGGAGGTGAAGATTGAAAACTGTGGTTTGAAGCCAGCCAGGGAAAAAAGTTAATGAGACCCCATCTCAACGAACAAACCAGGAATGTGCCTGTGGTCCCAGCTACATGGGAGACATAGGCAGGAAGGCCCCAGGCAAAAACACAATACTGTATCTGAAATAAAACTAAAGCAAAAAAAAAAAAAAAAAAGGGCTGGGGGTGTGACTCAAGTGGTAGAGTACCTGCCTACCAAACATGAGGCCCTGAATTCAAAACCCAGTACCACCAAAAAGAAAGAAGAACAAATATATCATATAAACACAGGATCTGCTTCTCATGACCATTTTCCCTTCCCTAACTTTCTACATATTACTAAGAAAATGAACACTCAAACTTTTTGTCTTCTTCCACTTCAAAGATAGGCAACACACAATTTGATGGTAATAAAAATAATACTATGTATTTATCAAAAATATTTGGGCATACACTGAGGAGGTACTTTTGCTAAAAATGCATAACCTGAATTAAAGACACTAAATTTTTTTTGAGACAGGGTCTTGCTATATAGTCCAGATTGGCCTCAAAACTTTTGATCCTCCTTCTTCAGCCTCCTAAGTGCTGGGACTACAGGTATGCACCCAGCAAGAGATAGTTTACAAAATGATGCAACTCTTGAAAAATCATAAGCAACAAAGAAAGACCAAATAATTGCAGGTTGGAGGATACTAGGAAGACATGACAACTATAGGCAATGTGGGGTCCAGAACTGGATCCTGGAACAGAAAAAGGACATTGTAGAACAATTTGGGAAATGTCAAAAGTACCAATGTTAGCCTCTTGGTTTTGAAATTTATTCAATGGTTAACATTTAAAGAAGGTGAATACAGGGAGAATGGGATCCCTTTATACTATTTTTGCAATTCTTTACAAAGTCTGAAATTATTTTTTAAAAGCTTATTTGCATATTTATATATCATAAACTAAACAGCACAGAGATTTAAAATCTGAATAATGCCATGTTCAGATGAATTAAAGGAAACAAAGAAATAGCAACCACATAAATCTAAAACCTGCCCTTTAAAATCCAGAAATAAGTGATAAAATATAACCTTTACCAAATTCATAACTAAGCGTTCAAGAAAATAAGACAATTTCCAGGGATGGCAATAGTAGAGTATGTGAACACTAAATTCAAAGCTGTCCTGGGCAGCAGAGGTGGCCTTACAACCAGGCAGGAAAGAGGGAGGATTTGAGACACCACAGAAAACCAGAGATCTCACAGGTCTACATGCTCAATGAAAGAATGACTCTGTGTGGAAAGCAATCTGCCCAGCAAAGCTGCTCCGTACTCCTGTGTACCAGGAAACCACTACTCTTATGTACATTCCCTGGAAGGTCTGCTGTTTAAGAGAAAACATTACGAACAATCTAAACATATGTCATTAGGGGCATGGAGTGATAATGCCAGCAAATTCAATTTGACATATCCTACAGCAGTGAAAATGGATGAACTAGAGCAGCAGAGGCAAACCTCACAAGCACAGCAAGTGAAACAGCGTTTCACACCAATGAATATATTTTACTATTTACATAAAATTTAAAAACATCTATTCAGTCATATTCACTTATTTTTTACTATACATTCTAAATGCATATGTACTTCTATAGCTAGTTCTATAATCTACATGTGAAAAATATATAGTATAAGAATATGTGTACAGATATAAATACATTCAAAGTATAAAGAAGCAAACAGGCGGCTCCCTGGGGGACTGGAGAAAAGAGGACACAAACAGGGAGCTCAATCATGTCGCTCCTCTTTTCCTTCATGAACTGGTGATGAGTCTGTACATGCTTATTCCATTTTTTAAAAACCTGTTTGTGTATTTGAAATACTACACAATTTTAGAGGTCAAGTGACTGATTTTACCTCTACTCGTAGCCACTTTCCTTTGCAGTGGAAGAGGCAGATTTTCCCACAAAAGGGCAGTGAGATGAAGTACTCAGAAGTCATGTGCTGCAAGACAGAGTGCGAGACACCATTATTACTCTTAGCGAAGAGCATGTGGCCACATCACTCAAAATGACCACTGAGACAAAGGTAAGCTTTTTACCCCCACGTATGTGATCAGACTTCCCAAGAGTCCTCTCCTTCCAAGGAGTGAGCTGCAGTAGATGCAGCAAACGTACTGTGTGCTACAGCATTTGCTTTGTCACTCTTATGTTTGTTGACATCAGTGACTTACTCTCCCTGGGAGCACATGGCTCACAACTCAGCACTGCTCAAATGCAAACGTTAGCAGAGAGGCCAGTGAGATGTGTACAGGCTCTGACTCTATCAGTTACACATGCAAAGGAATGCTGATCTGACAAAACCAGGAGCAGGATGAAAGTGAGGCGGCTGAACCAGCTGATGGTAAAGCCTCTCATCTCCATCTTTTAACATTTAGACTCAAGACAAGATTTTAACTCCAAAACAAATGTTCTCAACACAAATATGTATTGTCAGGGCCAGTACCATGTCAAGAAATCACAGCCTCTTCATTTGCCTCTGCTACAACCTAGAGTTGGGGACCTACCCATGTCTCTTTCTGTTCACGTAAGTGTTTCTATTCTCCTCAAAGACAATGTCTCCACTGGGGCTAGCAAAGCACTAGGTAATGTAATGAGTGCTTTTCACCACCATGGGTTAATATACATGTATATGTATGTATGTATGTATACATATATATATATGGCATCTGAAACACAGAAGAGGTAAAGCTATAGATCTGATGACACAATTCCAGATGGCAGTCTGAATACATGTTTAACCTGATTCAGCAAATATTTTGGAATACCTGTTCTATGCATGACACTAATTTAGGAGCTGTAAGGGATGTAGAAAACTGGCAAGGCACAGTCTCTGCTTTCAAGCCTATGTTCTATTAAAGCTAATAAGTACCCTAGTAGTTTTATATTTATATTGCATAGAATATCCTGACATACAATGAGTATTTTAGATTAGAGGCAAGAATTCCCTTCTAGGGGCGAGGGGGTTAAGGCTAAAGTGGCAGAAGGATTTTGTTACCTGGAAACCATAGTATACTCTGGATTATAACTATAATGTCCTAGCAGAGGTAAGGAAACTACATTAGAAACTTAAAACCTTTACAGGTTCTGACTGAGGGAAAAGTACTAGAATTAAAGATTAAGAAGCTTGCTAATGCAATTTGAACTTTAGAGCCAAATTTACTGGTACATCTCTCCTCAGCAGAGAGCTTGAGGAAGGATACCTGAAGGGAAAGATGAGGGCAGAGGTAAGGAGAGTTCCAGCTGGGCATGGTAGCACACACCTGTAATCCCAGCACTCAGGAGTTTGAGGCAGGAGGATCTTAAGTTTGAGGCCAGCCTGGGCTGCATAGCAAGACCCTGTCTGAAAAAAAATAAAAGTAAAGAGGGAGAGGGAGAGATAGAGAGGGAAAGATAAAGAGAGAGAGAGAGAAATCTCATTCTCCTAAGTTTCAGGTTCCTCTTTTGCCTGTGCAGGAGACCAAATGGCTCCAGCTGACAGACACAGGCATCTGCACTAAGACGGCTCATCAACCACGTGCTACAAATAACAAATCTGCCCACTGCTGAGCACTTACTACATGCCAGGTACTATGCTAAGCAGTACTGCAGCTATTCTTGTGACAATTGCATGGAACACATTATTACCATTTTCATTTTACAATGTGGAAATTGGAGTGTTGTTCCCTCCCCTCAAAGCGTTCAAGTCCCCAGGCTTCTAACTACCATTCTAGTCTATTCTAAACTATTCAACACGTATTCATGGCCCTGAGTTCAAACCCCAGTACTATCCCCCCCTTAAAAAATAAACAACTATTTACACCAGTGACTGCAATTTTAGGACTAACTTCAGAGGAGATGGTGTTCTGCCATACCTTGCAATGGAAATAGTCCTCTATCTTATGCAGAAGGTCACTGAGCTTATTCAGACCCTTGCAGGGCACCTGGCAATAGAGCGTTCCATCGGAGCAAATGTTAGTCACCTTGACATTTGTGTACATGGCATCAACCTGGAACAAGCAAAGGACACACCAAGAACACTTGAGAAGAGACTGTTGCTCTCACTTCTGTAAGTTATGTACCTGAATATCCCATTAAAAGTCTTTGTATTTTAAAATCGTCAAAGTCAGAGGACAGTTAACTTAGAAAGAAATTCATTACTTAAATATAAAAAAACTACAGCTAACAATCCCTTTCTTCCAAAAGGAATAATTAATATCATTTGTGTCAGGCACAAAAGAGGCACTTGGCCACAATTCATGGTTTGAAAAGCTAAAAATGACCTTAACTTTGGCTTGTTTTCTCCTCATTTACTTATGGTAAGAATTATTCCATAAGCCATGCTTTTGTAATTATAAACATAAAAATAAAAACCACACAAAATCAATTCCATTACAGCCTGCTCTCCACAGGCTACATAAATTTTAGCAATTTTTAAATGCTATAACCAAAGATTTAATCTTAGCTATTTTTAGTCAATTCATAATATAAAGACAATTCACAGTTCTATTTACAAAACCATTTTTCCTCCTTTGATCTACAATTTATTTAAGTTTCCTTCCCTTGGGGTGTTTATGTCTCACTAATTTAAAAACGTTAAGGCTAATAGTAAATATTCTTGCATATTGAATTTTCCCTTCATTGTATATTTACTTTTTTATCTTTGCAGAGCAACTTAATACAAATGTTAATATGTACTTACTATAGAAAAAAAATTAAAAATCCAATTCCTAAGAAATAATTACTATTCACATTATGTCATTTTCCCCTTCCAATGCCACCCTCCTTTTTAAAAATAAGTATTTATATGATGCCTGTATCAACTATTAGTCCAATTATTAGTCTGCAACATTCTTTCCTGATGACCTTCTTTCATACAGTATGTGTGACAGATGATAATAGTGACACAGCGGTACCTGGAGGTGAACCTCTAGCGACTTGTCACATATGGCCTTCAAGCAGGTGGCATTGATATTGATATCATCTTCTCCTGAGGTATCATAGAGAACAACGAGGGGAATGTCCGATTTGTCAAGTATCTCCACTGCAAAGATCTTCCCACAAGTTAAAGACTCAACCACCTTCACAAGGTCAGGGTCATCATTCAGAACATCCAACCCTGAAAAACAGTGAATATTTTCATTTCTATTTATTAACAATGTCATAAGATGGATAGCTTCCCTATTTGTTTTGACCACAGTCTTCTTTGCCTTAGTCATTTGTAGGTTTTAAGAGGCAACTGATGGTCAATCAGGATTTCTACCGCAGCCTTCACTTCATATACAAACACGTATTTAAAATACAGACTAAGAAAGATTGATACTAAGGAGCTATCAATCACGTCTCCTAGTCAGGCATTTGAAATGGCCTTCCTGAAATTCTACTCTTGATTCTTTCACTTTCAAATTAAGTATATACAACTAACTGCTTTTCTTATAAAACGAACATGTATTTATTGGAAACAGAGACACCGTCTTGCCTCCCTCCCTCCCTTTCCACCATTAAGACCCTGTGGACACCAGAGAACTTTCTGATTATCAAAGAAAGATTAGCATTTAACCTAGCACGGGTATTGAGTGAATTTTGTTGTAGTCCAATTACTCTTTCAGTTCTTTGCAAACAGTAATTCCATATATCCCATATATGATAACTCTAAGTTAATTTATTACACTAATTAAAACTAGTTTGGCATTCTCCAAATGGCACTATAATGCTTATTTCTACATTTTGCCCTTTAAAATTCAGACTTCTCTTGGCTGCCCTTGTTTTCAACACACAGCTTCATGGCTTTTCTCAAACCTTTTACTTCAGTATCTTAAATCTTGTTCTGTGCTCTTGATATGTTCCTTTTAAAACCAACTTCCACAGGTTTCTAACAGACTCTTGAGATTACTTCAGGGGGCCTGGCATGGTGGCTCACATCTGTATGTAATCCCAGCTACTTGGGAAGCTGAGACTGGGAGGCTAAAGGTTGGAATAGTGACTCAGAAACAAACAAAGCACAGGTAGAAGGATCAGAGTCCAAGCATAACTGAGAATGTATCTGAAAAATAACTAAGGCCAAAAAGGGCTGGAGGCATGGCTCAAGTGGTAAAGTGCTCACCTAGCAAGTGCAAAGTCCCAAGTTCAAACCCCAGTACTGCCCACCCCTTACAAAAAAAAAATACTTCAGGTTTATCTCACAGAGTCAGATCCAGCTCCCGTGATGTAAGACTCATCATCTCTGGGCGGGGCAGTTTCTTCAGAGAGCTCATGGTCATGTGAGAATTGTGATCACTGGTAGAATTCAGCACAAGCATCCTGGACGGTGCCCATTTCCACAGAGCTGACCACTGTGTCCTCCACTCCTCAGCTTTCTCCCCACAACATCACTCACACACACATATTCCTCTATGCCCCCATGAGAAGGAAGGAAGGAAGAAAGACTGACTGATTCGCTGACTATGTGAGAACCTGCACATGACCTATGGCCATGCTCAGCTGGACATAGAGGTTTGCTACCCATGTGCATCTCCACTGCTGTGTGAAAGGGCTGAGGGTAACACGATTCAGACTGATCAAATCCTGTGATACGGGGTGTCTATGGGTTATTACTGGGCAGTTAAGACAAAAAAAAATATCCTTTCAAATGGCCAGAACTTTTTTATAATAAAATGTAACAAAATGTAGTCCATGCAATAACAAAATGTTTTATATATAACATAAAATAGAAACTATTTTCATAATGATCACATTTTATACAGCACATTAAACATGAAATCATTTAAACCTTTCAAGAAATAACACATTACAACACCTTGAGACCAGAGTTTAACCACTGCAAAGTACATTAGTGATAATCTACCAAATGGAGGGAAAGAGCTGGGCATGGTGGTACATCCCAACACTAGGGAGGCTAAGATAGGAGGATCTGAATTCAAAACCAGCCTGGGCTATGGAGGGAGACCCTACCTCAAAAAACAAAACCAAACAAACTGAAGAACACGGAAAGAATCTTTTAAAGATACCCTTACCTGCTAGTTTACACTTGGTAGCTTGAAATGAAAGGGAACAGAACTTGGGGTTCAGTTTGTATGCTTTACTCTTCTCCACATTTTCACTGAAACCATAGTCAACATAGCACACCTAATGACAAAAACAAAACAAAACAAAACAATATTTAGGCTCAAAACTCTTTATCCACACTGCAAAAAACCATTTGCACATTTACTGGCTCCATTTTATTCTGTAAAGAGCTATCTGAGGTATTCTCTGATGTACCCCAGAAGGGAAATAGGGCCTGGAACCCAGGAAAACAGAGCTCCTGGTGCTAGGTCCCAATCTGCTACCTTGCCCTTTGGACAGTGGGAAGAACAAGGTAAGAACAAGGTAGACTCCACAGCCTCGCTGAGGCCAGTTCTCTCAGCCAGTCTTTCAATTGGTTCTACCAACACTGCCGCCCTCCCTCTCCGCCTGCAAAGGCAGGTTTCTTTTGCCTTCTTCAGGAAAATCAAGTGTACAGGGTACCTTCTTGGTACTTAGATTATAGTAATATACACAAAACTCCTCCCCAGCAGTCTTAGGAAAATGAGGAAAGGCAGAGAAACCGCTAATCTTTCCCTAACCATGAGGTAAGGGGGCCTGTGGGCTAGCCTATCGCCTACCAGGAAGACTACCTCTTGAGTCCACATTTGACTCTATGCTGCTTGGGTCCAGATTGCTGGCAAGGTCCCTGTACCAGGTGGCTTGCTACCTCAGTGCACAAGGCCATCTTTCCCGGGGTTAAATTAGTCCCTGATCCTCTTCTCATAGGCCTCAGGAGTCAGACAGCTTTCGTGTCCTTTAATGGGAATCAGCACTTGCAACCTGGATCCTGCTCTTCCAACACACGAAATGGAGGTAAGATGGTCTGATAATAGGACACAGTGTGTGAAATTTTGACTTCTAGAAATTCAGGCTGTATTCTTAGCTCAGTGAGAAAAGGAAGACGGCTCCAAAGGCTTCAAAAGGTTCATAATGTTCATAGGTTGTTTCTTTCCCTTCTTATTTTTATCAGCATACCATATATTTATATGCACCCACACTACCCAGTGTCCTCTGCTCTGTGAGAGCTACGCAATTCCTCTAGTGCCCTAGGACTGGTACCAGCAGGCAACTGTTCCCAATCATTCCTGGTTCTCTGGCACCATCAAGTGGCCAAAGTTTGCAGAGTCATCTTTCTAACACTAGCAGAAACCCCTGGCCCATGGTTCTGGTCAGGCCCACTGGCACCAGCCTCACAGGGTGCCTACGTGCCCCTGCTTCTCCTACCCACCAAGCATTTCACAGATGGAGAGCAAAGAGGGGACAGGTACCTGCTGCTAACAGGGCTGGTGCTAAGTATTTAGGTTTCTCCAAATAAGGGGAGAAGTGTCTGTCAGCTTCACAGGGAGTGGGTAATAAGAATAAGACAGGAAGACTACAACCACAACTGTACAAGATACCGAACTACCTTTATAAAATTCTAATGATCAACTCATAACTCTCAGCAGCAACACAGACTGCATTCTGGGACATGTCCTTCTGGAATACCCGTACATACTATTTGTTGTAAACACCATTGCACTGTTAATGTGTTACTAGGGTTTATAATTCTTCTCTTCCTAAGAAATTCCTGTATTAAAATAGTTAGCTTCTGTTAAAACTCCTACAGGCAGGACAGAGAAATGATCAAAAGTAGCAGTCTATCTAGGAACATTTGGGGATAATCACACCTTAGCAACTAGAGGCCTAGAGCAATGAAGGACTTGACTCAGGGCACAAAAACACCAGCAGAGTCAGGACCAGTGCCGGTGCTGCAAACAAATTCGTGCTCTCCACTGGTCTAGTGACCAAGTTGGTCCTTAGGTTCTTCCAAAGTTTTTTCAAATTTTATCAAAGTATAGTTTATATTGGATAAAAGCTACCTGAAGTACGTAGTTTGATGTGTTTTGATCAATGCATATGCCTCTATGCATACCATAACCAAGACACAGACTATTTCTAGCATCCCAGAAGTTCCCTCCAGTCCTTTGCAGGAAACACTTTTTCAATCCTTGTAGTCGGCAAGCACTTCTCTGACTTTATCATTGAAGATGGACTTTACCTGTTCCCAGACATCACTTAAAAGTAGAATCACACAGAATTACTCTTTTGTGACTGCCATCTTTTGTTCAGCACAAACAATGAGATTTATCCATGCAACTGACTACATAAGAAGTTCATTCTTTTTGGTTAGTGAATAGTTCTATTATATAAATTAACTATAACTTGTTTATATATTCCCTTGTTTATGGCCATCTGTGCTATTTTCAGATTAGGATTATTAGTAACAAAGCTTCTACAAACATGTATATTCAAGCCTTTTTATGCACCTACATTTTCATTTCTCTTCTGTAAATACTGAGGGGTCATATAGTAAGTGTTAACTGCCAAACTGTGCTCCAACTTTTAGACTTTTAAAGTCAGTTAAGTTTCTTAAAAGTTGAGACCCTGTAGGTTAAAGAATTTTTCTCTGTGGATGGGAAAGTGGCTTAGTGGGTATGTGACCTTCCTTCTGGACAAGACCAGAGCCTCTCTTGTCTATCTCCTGAACAAAATGGGTAGGAAAACAGTGGGTCTCCTTCTTGGCTGTCCTGACGGTGCTGCCAGTGTGGGCGGGGGCTTTAGTGGGGAGCTGGTGACTTAAGCCTGATTCGTGGTGGTTATGTACCCTCAGTGACACTCAGGGGCCATGGCCAGGGACTGACAGTGGCATATGGATTCAGTTTTGCATTGTGGAATACAGGCTGCAGAAACAGAGGTGTACTTCTCTGCTTTCATATAGAGAACACGATGTTCTCTGGATATATTTCCCCCCACAGCCTGAGAGTGCTCTGTACAATCAGAAGGACCGTGAAACTCGGAGCTGAGGGGCACTCTCCTATTAAGCAGGGTGGCAATGCACAGAGGTCCTTAAGTGCATTTCCCTTTAAGAGAGACATCTGAGGAATCAAGAAAGAAAAGACTCTCAGCTCCCTCAAATTCTCCATAAAGTAGCAACCCCTCTATCTGGAAGATTCAGGAAGCAGACTTGTTTGTAAGATAATTTCCAAATAAACACATTGCTTCCACCAAGAAAGGAAGAAGTGACCCAGTCTGAAGAGCAGACATAAACAGATGAGCACCCAGCAGTTGCCATGCAGCAACTCTGCCTTACTGTCTGGAAGCTGCGAGGCCAGAGGCACCACAGCTCAAAGGGAAACCTGGGCCTATGGGTGAGAGTCCTCTTCTCAGGCTCTGCAAGGAGGGTAAGAAGCAGCAAAGGGGCAGAGGTTGACTAGCAGGATGTGGCCAAGCCTAGATGTCCTAGAGCCTGCAGACAGAGGAGGGTGGTGATGAGCCCTTAGACCTTTCCAAGAGGATAGAGAGGATGACTCTGGAAGCAACTCCTGGAGAATGACTCCAGCCATGGTGAAGTAAGAAGAGGAAGAATGGCGGCTCTCTAATTGGGCTGCTTCTCTCACTGCCCACCAGGCTGGTCAGTAGGGGAGAGTGTGGGTTGTGCATACTCCCATGAGCAGCTTTGCTTTGTCACCAAGGTCTGAGATACTGATGACTACCACTGACTCAAAAGCTGTCAGGGATAATCTTTTATAGATACGGTCAACTTTTGGTGAAAATTACTACAACTGAAAACTAGGACAGTATATGTCTTTGTAAAGCTAGACAAAGCAAACAATGCTTGCCTTTAGCTTGTTCTCTTCTGCTGAGATGAGCTGTGCACGTAACCAGGCATCCTCCTCAGCATTGACTGCCAGCAGCTGCCCGACATGCACAGCCTGGACTGGTGCGACCTTGGGGTTCTTACTGTAATACTCCTTCATCTCGTCTTCCATTAATTCCTGAGCAGCTGAGTAGTCTTTGCCCACATACCTGGATTAGTGAAAAGAAAACACAGATGAAGCAGCCCAGGGGGAGGAAAACTGCAGGAATTCATTAGAGCTCATTCCCTCTGCAGCCATGTCTTGTTCTAACCTCAGACTTGCTCACACCAACAGGGAGAAGGACCGTGCTCAGGAAACATTTCTCTTTTGACAAAGGAAGACGGAATTGTGCAGATCTTGCAAAACAAGACTGGGGTGCAATCCACTGGGCAATAGGGCAAATGCTGGGCAACACAGCAGTAGGCAGTGAGTGAGGAGGCCTCAAGGAGTACCAGGTTCAGGGACGAAAGAAGAGAAAATGGCACAGAGAAAACTCAGGGAGGCCAGATCAGCAACTGTCACTTTCAGATCTTAACTAAGGCTGCTGGAGATTTGTGTGGACTATTAAGAAGATAATCTAGCTGACAGAATCTGAACAAACCTCCAGTTCTGAAAATCAGTGAAACTTTACTAGAGAAAAAAATAGAGCCTAGGGTTGGGGACACAGCTCAGGGCTCGCATACTTATCTAGTTTGTGCCTGGCCCTGGGTTTGATCCCCAGCAGTGGGAGTTGGGGGGTGCTTGACTTGAACACACTAAACACAGCAATGTGACATCCCCCACCCAAACTTACTGAACAAATTACATCAAAATATTGAATTCTGATACTCTCAAAAAAGGTGACATGTTCTAGCTGAATGCCTCTAAAACTCATATGCTTTCTGAAAAGTATTATTCTCAGACCAGCCTCATCCTTTTCTACTGCTGACAACTGCAGTCTTGCTGATTCCGTTCATGTTATCAAAATATAATCATTTAGCCAGGCATGGTGGTACACATCTATAATCCTAGCTACTCGGGAGATGCAGCTTGGTAGGACCATGGTTAGAAGACAGCCTGAGCAAAAAGTTACCAAGTTCTCCATCTCAACAAACAGCCTGGGATTGGTGACATGCTCTGAAGGAGGTGACAGGTAGGAGGATCATGATCAAAGTTGGCCTCAGGTAAAAATGCAAGACTGTATCTAAAAAGCAACTAAAGCAAAATAAAAAAGTGCTAGGGGTGTGGCCCAAGCGGTAGAGAACATGCCTAGCAAGTGTAAGGCCCTGAGTTCAAAACTCAGTACCACCAAAAAGAAAACAAACAAACAAAAATCCTTTTTTTTTTTTTTCTGCCATAAGCAGGCTGTTTTCTTGCCCTAAAAAAGGGTGTCCTTCCAGGACATAAAGTCTGGAAAACCATGTTTGGGTCATGAAAGCAGATGCTGTCACAGCCACAGGATAAAGCCTTTCAGCTGGAAGGCTGTGCTATGAAAGCACCAGACTTGGTTCAGTTTTTACCCAGGACCCCAGGTGAGCTGAGGAAGATGTAAAAAACTATCCCGTTAGAAGTGTTTCACATATTCTTGGTAACTAGCAGCAGGACCAGAAAGGAGGAGCAAAGCTAATGGGCTGGCAGAGTGGCTTAAGCAATAAGAGCACCTGCCTTGCAAGCGTGAGGTCCTGAGTTCAACTTCAGGTGCTGCCAAAAAAAGGCTATTAAAAAGTCCTGCAGGATGGCAAGAATGCTTTTGGGCAATGGCTATTTAAAAATGAAAGAGTATAAGGACATTATTCGCTCTTTTATCGTTTATCACTCATTGAGCTTTGCGAATATTAAGGCAGTGCAGGAATGCAGCTACTTTCTGGACTCTATAGTCTGCTGAGGGATCTACACTGCACCCAAGTGGCCCGCTTTCAGGACCCTGGTGCCTCAGGGGCCTCCCCTAGCTGCTTCAGTCCTGGGAGGCCAACAGGCAGAGTCTGGGTTGTAGAGGTGATCTGCTGGCACAGGCTCCTGTGGGAAGGTGGGAGGGAGGGAGCGGCACATGGGAGCTGCAGGTGATCCTGATACCTGCAGCAGCCTCTATAGAGAAGGACAGCTACACCACTGGAGAGAGGGGATAGAACATTACCTACCATGCCTGGTGGTTGCCAGTCACTCTGCTAAACACAGAATGCAGACTAGAGAAAGGTATTTAAATAATCTGAAGATTGTGACTCTATTCATTCTGGAATAGTTTAGAACCTTCCTACTAAAGTCCTAGAACTGAGCCCTTCCTTAGTAAGGACATCAAAAATGACATGACTGATCCAGCCCAGTGCTCAGTGCTTGGTCTCTGACAATAGCACCAATGATTGCTGATAACAAATACCAAAGAAGCCTATCATGGAAGTAGATTTAGGTTTTCTTTAAGATGCCAAAAGGTAACAGTCAGTAATGTACCCCTTGCCATCTTTCCTTTTCTTCAATATATTAGTGAACCATAATGGATCCCTAACCTTCAACAACCTATTTACATCATTAGGTCACACCACATCCTAGCAAGGTTACACATTTAATAGCCCTGTATAAAACACCACCTCTCTAATGCTCCTTCTGGTTTAAGGATTGCAAGTAGGTTCACTCTCTTATCCACTCAGATTCAGACTATTCAAATGTACGAGTTTTAATGTTTTTGAGCTCTTCTTTCTTGGAAGGATTCTGATTATTTTCTGTGTTCTTTCTTTGGCTCAGCTATGGGTCTCTGGCAGCCCACATAGGACCACTTTAGTTGAAATAGCCTGGATTCTGTTCTGCTTCAGTCTTTTCCTCCTCTGTGCAGCCATAGCCACACTCTGGGCTGGTGCTTCACTCAGCTACACAGGTTCCCATTCTTTTTCCCAAGCAGGGACCAGCAAGTTATTATAGTCTTTCTATACTTCCTATGTATTTTGTAGTTTTTCCAAAAGTCCAAGTCTAGAGCTGGACTGTGTTTTGCAATTCCAGTTATCATTAGCTACTTAGGTGACAGTTCCTCCTCCCAGGAAATGATATCAAAAGGCTCAGGTTACCAGAGCACCTCTGGGTCCAGGGGCTACATGAGGAACACCAGTTGCTATTCAGTCCTAGATTATATGGTTATCACCTGGTCTGTGGGGGACTTGCTTTTTCTGTGGACTAGGTATTACTTTTGACTTACATAGTTACCACGATGTTTTTGATACAGAGTTTTTCAAGTTCATATTATCATTCCAATGTTTAATACTGCATAGTAATCTTTTCTCATAAGAATAGTTGTATATTTTGAACATTTACCAAATTTTGTTTTATTTTTGTTTTTGGGTGATACTGGGGTTTGAACTCAGGACTTCATGCTTGCTAGGCAAGCACTCTACTACTTGAGCCACTCCACCAGCCCCCCCCCCAAATATTATTGTGTCTCACTGTAATTTTTTAGAAGAATAGTATTCTTTCTTTAATCCCCAGCATCACAAAAACAACTGTATACCAGCATCCTGAAGATTTAGAAACTGTAACTTGCCTGATAACCACTTCATTTGTGTTGCTCAGTTCAACCACCAATACAGATGGGGATGCCTCGGTAGGAATGATTAAAGGAGGAATGGTTATGTCCTCCTCAAGGATATCGGCACTTTCAGCAATGTTTTTTTCTATCTGCAAATATTCTTGCTCAATCATAGACTTGATATCATAATCGCCTTGTGCCTGCCCCTCATCCTTTAGGATCTTGTCAGCAGGTGATGGAAGTTTAGCATAGAGAATGGCCTTCAGGGGATTTCCAGAAATGTAGTCTATGGTGCACACATCAGAAAGTGCAGCGAGATTTTTTAAGGCATCCTCAGGGAATTTTACTTTGTATCTGTCCTCAAATGCTTTCGGGAGTGCACTAGCCCAAAGGCCACTGGAGTATTTCACCAGCAGCTCTGCCACTTTCTCTTTGATGTCTCCTGGCATAACTGCTGGACTCCCTTTTGATGGTGGTATCTGCTTAGAAGCAGGTAGCGTGGATGGGAGCACTTTTTCAGGGTCCAGTTCACTTCTCAAAAGCTGCTTTCTCTTAGCTGGATAAATAAGTAAATCTTGACCACCACTACAGGGTTTTTCCACCTGAAATTTTTAAAGAAAGCACATGACAGATATTTCAATGGCTATAAACAACCTGAAAACATATGCATACATTTTGTATTTGAGAGCACCATAGTTTTCTAAAACATTCATACAAAAGTATACATTTCATTCTTTTCAATTACTTCTATTTTAATGCATTGCATTCACCTGCAAATAATATAAGCATGCTTCAGAAACAACCAGGAAGATGTAACTGTATTAACTTCACTTGTGAGGCATCTAGACTCCAACCGGCCTAGGAAATCATGACACCTCTGCCCTGACAAGTGTGCTGATCATTTGGTTCTCTGCCAAACCCAGAGCAATAGTTTACAAAATAGACTGGATCCAAGGTGAAGAGAAGCTACAAAAAGGTACTGATATTGTCAGGAATATACACTGAAAACCTCACTAGGAATATTTGGACAAAATAGGGGTGTTATCTCCCTTTCTCCTATAATATCCTGAGAAACCCTCAGATTTCCATTATTTAGAAAAGATGGCCCAGAGGTACGGTACACTTTGGACAACCACCACAGCAGAGAGTTAGCTGGAAATGAACAAATGTTAAAAACACCTGGTGTTTGTATGTCATCCAATCGCTAATTACTATATGCATATCATGCCTGAGGGGCACAGCTTGATGAAGTGATGGAGTAATGTTTTCAAGTTCTAAGCCTTTCTGCTGTTAGACCAGGGGCTGGGCAAATGCCCAATGCAGCTCAAGGCTCATGAGCTAAAACTGAGTTTTCTATTTTTTTTGGCATTGGAGTTTGAACTCAGGGCCTTGCTGTGGCCAGGCAGTTACTCCACCACTCAAGTCATGCCTCCAGCTGCAAGTTTTATATATTTAAATGACCAAAAGAAGTCAAAAGCAGAATTATTTCAAAATGTGAAAATTATATGAAATTCAGTACACATGAATTCTTACTGGATCATGGTCATGCTTCCCAGTTTCTCTATTCTCTGTAGCTGTCTTTGCACTACAATAGCAGAACAGTTGTAATAGGTTTGCATACATGTAGCTCTGAACCACTTTAGAGCTGGAAACCCTGAAACATTTATTATTTGGCCTGCTAAGAAAACAAAGTCTTAAACCTGTACTAGGCCATTAGACTGAAATTAATATTCACTACCTTATGAAATGTTTCTATTTTATCAGGTCCTATAATTTAAGACTTTAGGAGGATTAACTAATACAAGCTTATAAGAAAATCCTAGTCACCCAAAAGAACAGAATATTTAAGTATGCTATTGGCAAAAAACAGACTTCATTTACTTCACTTTTCACATGCTTAGGAAGATGAACCATAGCTGCCATGGTACCAGCAAAGACCTTTAAAAAGTCAAAAGGCATAGTCAAGTTGATATTAAAATATTCTTTTTAGTCTGACTGTATATTCTACGTGATATGTAAGTGAATGATGTATGATACTTTCAGTATAAAGCATTAGGTTTCCGTCCTCATTCTTCTGCCAACCTGTGCTGGAGTTTCAAGGACTGAGGAAAAATCCTGTTTCTGAAAAGCCCCAAGCAGAGCCTATCATTGTCCTGCTAATGTAGTGCATCAGCACAGATAGCAGAGGTGATCGATCTATTGCTTGTCTACCAGACGCAGGATCTTCCTGGGTCAGTGGTGGACTCTTGCTGGCACCTCCGGACAATCTGGGTGGCATGTCACCTGTTACAATTTATGTCCCTACTGCTAAGCCATAGCAGGGGCATAAAATATTTGGAGGCTTCCTCATGCTTCCCTCCATGGTGGGTCTACTTCTTAAAGTCTAGATATTTTTTTGTGTGTGTGTGTGGTTCTGGGAATCAAAACCAGGGCCTCTCACATGCTAGGCAAGTGTTCTACCATTGAGCTACACCTCCAGTCCCTTTTTAAAAAAAATCTTATTATGAGACAAGTTCTCACTAAACTTCCCAGGTTGCCTCAACCTCTCAAGTAGGTGGAGAACAGGCATGTGCCACTAGACCCAGCTCAAAATTTGGACTCTGTAAATGCCGGTCTGCAC